TGTGTAAAGTTTTTCATAAAATTTTTAGTTACCTTGGATAATTAAGTATGTTTAAACAATAAGTTTTTGCTGATTCTGGGTTAACACAAAAAAGTTTGCCACCATCAGAATTCATTTCCATTGGGTTTAGATATGTAAGTTCTGCGCTAACGGCAATAGTTAGAAAAGCAAGGAACTGTATATAAGAAGAGAAGAAAACAAAGCAAAATTTATATTAATTGTTAAAAAATTTATATAGTTTAATTTTACACTTACCGCCAAAATTATGTGTGTTAATTTTAAAAATTGCATTTTTCTTTCTTTTTCTGTTAAGATTTAAAGCAATATTTGAAGAATCTTATAGCAATTTTTGTGTGTGTGATTTTTAACTTGTTGTTGTTGGTTTATATTCTGTTTTTTATAATAAGAATAAATTTAAAATTATTTTGTTATTTATATAAATATTTTAGCTTTTTTTACTCGCAGTCGTACTTAAACTGAAACCGATATGTTTAAAATAAACTGTTGCATTGAGAGAATCTTTGTTTAATGTTTATATACTTTATCAGTAATCACTGATAAGTCAAGTATTTCGCTCGTAGTCTGTTTGTGAATGACAAAAAATAATATTGAGAGAGAATATACTTAAAGAAATTGTGTCGTCAATAAAATTACTGTTTTTTTAATCTTGAATTTCAATAAATAAAGAAAAACCCCGTGAGAAGTAAAGCCAAGTAATTATGTTCGAAATAATATTATATATTGAGGCTATTCACAGTTGGCGGATGAGTAAGTCTATAGAAATTTTAGTTACTTGTTTGAAAAGTCTATATGGAAAACAAATATATACTAAACCATAATCTAAGATGAACATATACATATGCATGTATATGTTGTTCTTGACCTTTAATTAAAAAAATTACAGGTTTCGTTTCATATAGTTATATAAAGATTTGCCATTAACAAATTAACGTAAATACCCAAACTTATAAAATAATTAGCTAAGAAAGAGATGACTTGGTGATTCACAAAAAAAAAAAAAAAAAAAAAAATTAAATTATATACATATTTTTTGCAAGAAAACAAACTCACAGATAACAAACGTGTTTTTCCCAATCCCAAAATAAATCAGAATATCAGAAACTCACAACAAATTTTTTAAATGAATACTAAATATGTCATAATAAGTTCAACGTTGTTATAACAGAATAAATACTTGGGGAATACCATCAGCGTATGTACATATATACTGATTTGCAACGGAAATTCAAATTACTTGAAATAATATTCTTACTTAAGTGAGAGTAGAAGAACAACAAAAAAGTTACAGTTGTATTTATATTGATTTAAGTAAATATTTTTTTTAGCGTAAAAAAAACTGTATGTTTATCACTTTAATATACTAAAACTGATGTAGTTTTAAACAGTTCTGAGAAAAATAAATTTTATTTGCACCATTTAATGTGTTTCTGCTTGTAGTTTTAATATCATTTAGTGAACAATGAAATTGATTTTCTATGCATTATATTTTTTTAATGTTTTTCTAAATGCTTTGTTTTAATTGAACTCTTTATATGTGGTGCAGCAACAATAAAGCAAGTATTCGAATACTCAATATTTACACAATTTCAAGTGAATTTCAAAAAGTGTTCCATATTATATGATCCATTTGTTACCACAATTTACTCATTTATTAGCATTATGCAGCAAGTTATAAGCATTAAAGTCAATTTCAGAGGAGGACTTTATATGAGGCGTAGAGTAAAGTTAGACCGAATTTCATAAAATTTTACAGATAGATTGTAATCCTTATAAAACTTGTTTTTGTCGGGCAAGTTATGAGCTAGGGTCGATTTTGGACCGATTTTCAAAAAATTTTACAAAGATATTTCTTATTGAACATGTTTAAGTCGAATTTCGTTGCTATATGAGCACTACAGTCATTTCCTGAGAGGTACTTTATATGAGGCATAGGTTCAATTATCGACCGATCGTAATAAAATTTTACAAAAACAATTTGGCCGCTATAAGATTTGCATAGACTCGTTGTGTTACAGATGTTACCCATTTTCAGTACCGAACATCAAATTAAAAGTATTTGTGCAAAATTTGTGCTCTCTGAGTCGTTAGACAAACGGACGACGAGTCCGTCTTAGAGTCGAATACATTAATTTTTTTGGGTGCAAACATACTCAGCAACAACTTAGTTAGTTAGTTAGTTAGTTAGTTAGCTAGTTAGTTAGTTAGTTAGTTAGTTAGTTAGTTAGTTAGTTAGTTAGTTAGTTAGTTAGTTAGTTAGTTAGTTAGTAGTTAGTAGTTAGTTAGTTAGTTAGTTAGTTAGTTAGTTAGTTAGTTAGTTAGTTAGTTAGTTAGTTAGTTAGTTAGTTAGTTTAGTTAGTTAGTTAGTTAGTTAGTAGTTAGTTAGTTAGTTAGTTAGTTAGTTAGTTAGTTAGTTAGTTAGTTAGTTAGTTAGTTAGTTAGTAGTTAGTTAGTTAGTTAGTTAGTTAGTTAGTTAGTTAGTTAGTTAGTTAGTTAGTTAGTTAGTTAGTTAGTTAGTTAGTTAGTTAGTTAGTTAGTTAGTTAGTTAGTTAGTTAGTTAGTTAGTTAGTAGTTAGTTAGTTAGTAGTTAGTTAGTTAGTTAGTTAGTTAGTTAGTTAGTTAGTTAGTTAGTTAGTTAGTTAGTTAGTTAGTTAGTTAGTTAGTTAGTTAGTTAGTTAGTTAGTTAGTTAGTTAGTTAGTTAGTTAGTTAGTTAGTTAGTTAGTTAGTTAGTTAGTTAGTTAGTTAGTTAGTTAGTTAGTTAGTTAGTTAGTTAGTGTTAGTTAGTTAGTTAGTTAGTTAGTTAGTTAGTTAGTTAGTTAGTTAGTTAGTTAGTTAGTTAGTTAGTTAGTTAGTTAGTTAGTTAGTTAGTTAGTTAGTTAGTTAGTTAGTTAGTTAGTTAGTTAGTTAGTTAGTTAGTTAGTTAGTTAGTTAGTTAGTTAGTTAGTTAGTTAGTTAGTTAGTTAGTTAGTTAGTTAGTTAGTTAGTTAGTTAGTTAGTTAGTTAGTTAGTTAGTTAGTTAGTAGTTAGTTAGTTAGTTAGTTAGTTAGTTAGTTAGTAGTTAGTTAGTTAGTTAGTTAGTTAGTTAGTTAGTTAGTTAGTTAGTTAGTTAGTTAGTTAGTTAGTTAGTTAGTTAGTTAGTTAGTTAGTTAGTTAGTTAGTTAGTTAGTTAGTTAGTTAGTTAGTTAGTTAGTTAGTTAGTTAGTTAGTTAGTTAGTTTAGTTAGTTAGTTAGTTAGTTAGTTAGTTAGTTAGTTAGTTAGTTAGTTAGTTAGTTAGTTAGTTAGTTAGTTAGTTAGTTAGTTAGTTAGTTAGTTAGTTAGTTAGTAGTTAGTTAGTTAGTTAGTTAGTTAGTTAGTTAGTTAGTTAGTTAGTTAGTTAGTTAGTTAGTTAGTTAGTTAGTTAGTTAGTTAGTTAGTTAGTTAGTTAGTTAGTTAGTTAGTTAGTTAGTTAGTTAGTTAGTTAGTTAGTTAGTTAGTTAGTTAGTTAGTTAGTTAGTTAGTTAGTTAGTTAGTTAGTTAGTAGTTAGTTAGTTAGTTAGTAGTTAGTTAGTTAGTAGTTAGTTAGTTAGTTAGTTAGTTAGTTAGTTAGTTAGTTAGTTAGTTAGTAGTTAGTTAGTTAGTTAGTTAGTTAGTTAGTTAGTTAGTTAGTTAGTTAGTTAGTTAGTTAGTTAGTTAGTTAGTAGTTAGTAGTTAGTTAGTTAGTTAGTTAGTTAGTTAGTTAGTTAGTTAGTTAGTTAGTTAGTTAGTAGTTAGTTAGTTAGTTAGTTAGTTAGTTAGTTAGTTAGTTAGTTAGTTAGTTAGTTAGTTAGTTAGTTAGTTAGTTAGTTAGTTAGTTAGTTAGTTAGTTAGTTAGTTAGTTAGTTAGTTAGTTAGTTAGTTAGTTAGTTAGTTAGTTAGTTAGTTAGTTAGTAGTTAGTTAGTTAGTTAGTTAGTTAGTTAGTTAGTTAGTTAGTTAGTAGTTAGTTAGTTAGTAGTTAGTTAGTTAGTTAGTTAGTTAGTTAGTTAGTTAGTTAGTTAGTTAGTTAGTTAGTTAGTTAGTTAGTTAGTTAGTTAGTTAGTTAGTTAGTTAGTTAGTTAGTTAGTTAGTTAGTTAGTTAGTTAGTTAGTAGTTAGTTAGTTAGTTAGTTAGTTAGTTAGTTAGTTAGTTAGTTAGTTAGTTAGTTAGTTAGTTAGTTAGTTAGTTAGTTAGTTAGTTAGTTAGTTAGTTAGTAGTTAGTTAGTTAGTTAGTTAGTAGTTAGTTAGTTAGTTAGTTAGTTAGTTAGTTAGTAGTTAGTTAGTTAGTTAGTTAGTTAGTTAGTTAGTTAGTTAGTTAGTTAGTTAGTAGTTAGTTAGTTAGTTAGTTAGTTAGTAGTTAGTTAGTTAGTTAGTTAGTTAGTTAGTTAGTTAGTTAGTTAGTTAGTTAGTTAGTTAGTGTCTATGGTATGTTCATGAAACCTTTTAGTGTAAATACATGTAATACTGCATGAAAAATTGTCCTTGCTAAGATAAACACAAATTTGATAAATTTATTTAACATTTCTTAAATTCTTACATATATACAACACTAAAAAATAATAACAATGTTTTAGTAACAACAAAATAACGAAAAAATATTCCAAATAAAAAACGCTCTCTTTTATCTTAATGACTGCGCTGCACCAACAACTAACTCCTCAGTTAATATATATTTTCTTAACTCTTATACAACAAAGTAGAGAGAAAATAAACACAATACTCATGTCCTTGTTAACTGTTATTTTCACATACATATTAGTTTTCTTGCAGCTGCAGAAAGGATGTTTGAGAGTTTAGCATTTTTACTTTGTTTTTTGTTGCATATTTTTTGGCGCTACACCCCAAAAATGACGTTTCTTTTACAGAAGAGAAAGTTTAATATCTCTCAATTTATATGTTAATTCTGTGTTGTCTGTTTTATTTATTATATTTTTTCTAAGTACCACATAGCCTCATTGTTTTGTAGTAAGGTCAGTAGTAAATTTCGATCCAGCCGGCTTGGACGTAGTACGTAAAATTGTGATAATAATAAAAAAATTTTAAAAAATACGTGAATGAAAACAACTGAAATGTTACTGAACCCCAAAAAACTTGTTTAAGAAGCATAATCTCAACCTCATATATAAAACAACAAAAATTAATAATACAAATAATTTTTAAGTGTAAAAAAATAACAACAATTAATTACTAAAACAATATTTTAAACCACAGACAAAAAATTATACGAAAAAAAAAAAACAAAAATGAAATAATTTAATAAAAAGTTTTTTAAAAAATTAATTTATACCATTAATGATTTTGTCGTTTTAAAAAGTTTAAAATAATTTCCAGTTTTTTGTGCATACAAGTACATGCAATGTATGTACTTGTATGTTATACATAAGCATGTACTTAATACAATTTATTTCAAAAATGTAATAATCTTGTATGGAATTTGATTCAATATTAACAATAAAACAAGTGTTTTAATTTTGACCTTTAAAACAAGAAATCACTCTCAAAATAATACAGATTTTTTGAGAATATGTAAAACTGTATGAAAGACTTTTTCGAAAGCTAGAATGGCGATATTAGCGAATACAATTTACTTAAGGTCGTAGTGGACTTTAATAAAGCCATAACCGAATTCTTCGAAAACTCTGCATCATGTGAGTACCATTCCACTTTGGGATTGCCTGTAATGAAATAGCGAATGATCTGCTATAAAGGGAAATTAAGTTCAATTGACGAATACAAAACCGTTCGACACAACGAGGATAGAATTTAAAACATGGGCGAGAGAAACAGTGTCTAGATCCCAAACATAATATACATATTATGTCCCTTAAGTGTTCTGATTGAAAAAATCTGACTACGTAACGGAAACTAAGCTTCTGTCATATTGGATCATAATTCATTTCATTAATAGCTATATATATATTTCCACCAACATCTTCCATTAAAGGATCAACATGCCCGCACCGGCCTACGCGTATTTTTCCGACTTATACATACATCGAAAACCAAACCTAGCCACATGAATGTCTTAAAAACGTTATATATATAAAAAGTAGATTTATGAAAATCTTGCAGTTACTGAGAATTTTAATGAAATTATTTAAAATTTTTGAATTATGCAAAGTTTTTTACTTTTGAATGAAAATTGTTCTATTCATAAAGATGTTCTACAAACGTTTTCTAACCTTTAATCCTATTAAGTTATAAGCATAACAGGGTGACAAAAGTTGATTAAAACAATGTTTAATATAAATTTTTTTTAGCTTTTAAGAAAATTAACAAAATTAATATGGTGGCAGAAAAAGACAAGTTTATGGTACATACAGGTTGGCGTTTTCAGTCTTCAAAAAATTTGTGTGACAAATTTTGAGTCATTATTTTCAACATGAATGATTTGAATGCTTTATCAGTGGTAAAACAAATACAGTAAATGTTTTAGTTTGAATTTCAATTTATATTTACTTTAATAATACCGACAAAATCAAATATGTATGTATATCATAATTTAATTAGATTATTAAATATTTATGTATTCAAAATACACATGTAATATGTTAAATAACACTGTACAACACAAAAAAAAAAACAAGTAAGAAAGTATAGTCGGGCGTGGCTGACCATATGATACCCTACACCATTTATGAATATTATATGTGATTTATTTTTCATAATAAAGCATTTATCTTCAATATTCCATTGTTCCGATACATTTAAGCAATTTATGGATGAAAAACTAATTTTCTGAAAGAGGCTTTATATGGGGACTAGGGGCAAATATGGACCAAGCCCGATAAAATTTTGTGAATATATTTATATTTACGTAATATTTTATTGTGCTGAATTTCATCGCGATATTTGTGTTTATAAGTTAATTTGGGACATTCAAGTAATTTTCTGAAGAGGACTTTGTATGGGAGCTAGGGTCAAATGGGGCCCGATCTTTATGAAATTTGGCAGGGTCACCAAGACTTCTATAAAACTTAGTTGTGCCGTATTTTATCGATATATCTGTATATTTAACATAATTATGAGCTCAGAAGCCCTTTTCGGGGGTTCTGTTCTATGGGGGCTTGGGTCAAATAAAACGTGCGTGCCAAATTTCATCCAATTATCTTGAAAATTGCGACCTGTACCTTGCGCACAAGGTTTACATGGACAGCCAGCCAGCCAGCCAGCCAGCCAGACGGACGGACGGACATAGCTTAATCGACTCAGAAAACGATTCTAAGCCGATTGGTATACTTTAAGGTGGGTCTAGGACGAATATTTTTGTATGTTACAAACATCAGCACAAATCCAATATACCCTCCCCACTAAAGTGGTGTAGGGTATAAAAATAAAACAAAAAAATATGACAAAAACAAAAGACACGTGTTTCGTTTGAGGGGAGTTAAAGTTTCCCAACTCTGGCACATTCTTATTGTTAATCGGCATAAGTAACAATAAGACCCTTCCATTTTAGGTATAAAATGTGTTCAGCAATATCCCAGCAAAAAATCTGAAGTTTTTGGTAATAGCCAGTAGTTATTTCATACATTACTTGGTAATGAGTGTTCATTATCATCCACATTATTTCATTTAGCTGAATAGGTTATTACTGGTAAAGAACAAAACAATTTGGATTTGTTATGGCTCAATTGTCTAGGTCGTTCATTTAACAAACAGGGGTTCGTGGTTCGAGCCCTGCTGGATACTGTTTATTTTTTCAAAATGACATTCATTTATATATTTTTGTAAAAAGCCGTTCTCAAAATTATAAAAAGCAACATGTTAATGGAGCATCGAGTAAGAGGCTGGAGTGAGAAACATAGAAAACAACAGAATGCCTGAGTTCAAATCCCGGCCGAGGAATTTTTTTATTTTTTGTTTTCTACATACAAAGTCGGCCCAAAATAACTAGCTATCACATAACATATTTGTAGGTTTATTTGTAACTATTTATTTCGCAAAGTTTTTGTAATCAAATTAGTAACCATTTATTAATTTGTTTAAGGTAGGTACATATTATTTGAACCTCGTCGAACAAAAATAATTAGTTATTCACCCCAAAAGTAATTAGTTTCCACGTGATTCCATTATTTCTTTCTAGATTACTAGGTAATGAAAATTTTTGCTGGGATAATGTAAAACATTACGGAGAACATTTTTGTAGAAAATGTTAACTCCTCAAGTATCAAAATTTTCGAAATTTTTTTCATGCTAAATTTTTGGGGTACTTTAAAATAAAATTCTTAATAAATGCGAAATTAACCCTAAGCTCTCTTTTGTTGTCATATTTCTGACTTTCTGGTTGCATTTTCCATATTTGTCTATTCAGGGACTTATAGTAAAATTTCAGGGAGAATATTTTTGCGGAAAATTTAATCCCTTAAATCCCGGTTTTAATAGTGTTTTTGCTCTTTATTTAAAAGCAGGACAAAAAATCCTATACCTTGAGGAGTTAGAGGGTTAAAATATTCTACAAAATGTTTTCCGTAATATTTTACATATACCTAAAATGGAAGGGTCTCATGATTGCTTATGCCGATTAACAATAAGAATGTACCAGAGTTGGAGAACTTTAACACTCGCTCAAATGAAATTCAGATGTAAACTTTCAAAACGCCGATACACGTGTCTTTTGTTTTTGTCTCCTCTATCAAAATTTATTGGTCGGACCTTGTAATTTTGGAAAAAAATTGATTTTGTTGTATAGTGTAATTTATTATATTATATGTTTCTCATAAGATACTTGTCATAAAACCAATAAAATATTGACCTTTTCAGATAAGAAATCAACAATTGTATGAATATATCTCTATTAATACCAATATGGTTTAATATACCATACAACTACATGTAACATAGAATCTGTCGAAAAGAAAAACTAAACAATCCTGAGGGTTATTATGAAAATAACATAACATTTATGCCAAGACCTTTAGATATTACATTTATTACATAAGTATAAAATCAAATGAATATATCTAACTACATACGTATACGTACATACATACGTATGTATGTATAAAGTAATAAACAGAATAAAAGTGTCAAAAGGACTCTTATGAGTATAATTGAGTACTACCATATTCTTCTACAAACATACACATACATACATATATAAATACTATATATGTGTTTATATGCATCGTGTACGTTTGACTCAGTTTTCTTCATTTCATTGCAAACTCCTCGCTTCCTTTGCTGCCAAATTGTATTACAGTGGCGCTTTGTGTCTAACGTCAATACACACAGTGTCTAACTAATCACTCATTTATTACAATACTGTCATAATTCAAAAAAAAGCGGTTTAGAGAAAAACGACTTTAATTGTTTTATATTTTATTATTTCTGAAATAACTTTAAAAAAATTATCGGATTTTAAACATAAACATCGGAGTTATGCTAGTCTTGTAGTAAATGGACGCTATGTTTTAACTTTTACTCTGTTTGTTAGTTAGCTACACAAATATTAATGTTAAACAACATTGAAATTGCTACATATATACATATGTACAATTTTACATATGTATATATGTAGCAATTTTCTTAGTATTAGTTTACATAAAAATGCTTATTCCCAGTCGGCATTTTGCAGATTTGTTAGGTGACTAATTACCCAAATGATTTAACTGCTTTTAATAAACTTTTATATTTTATGACGTCAGGACAAAAAATTTTACAAATAATACAAAGAACTAAACTTTTATTGTTGGCGAAAGCAATTTTTGGACCACCTTAATAAGAGTCAAATAAAGTCCGATCATTTCGAAATTCGGCAAGGTCATCAAGGCTTGTATAAAACTTAGTTGTGCGAACTTTCATCGAGATACATTTATATTATACATAATTATGAGCTCAAAAGCCCTTTTCGGGAGGTTCAGTTGTATGGGGGCTAGGTGAAATAATGGACCGATTTTAACCATTTTCAATAGGCTTCGTCCTTGGGTCGAAACTCCAAATTTCATCAAATTATCTTGAAAATTGCGACCTGTACTTTGATAACAACGTTCACATGGACACACCCACGGTCGGACGATGGGACAGACATCGTTAAATCGACTCAGAAAGCGATTCTGAGTCGATCGGTATACTTTAAGGTGGGTATAGTACTAATATTTTAATGCGTTACAAACATCAGCACAAACGCATAATACCCTTCCCACTATAGGGGTGTAGGGTATAACTACACTATTAATTGGTGGTAACTGCAATTTTAATTCCTAGTATGACCTCAGTATTGTTGGCAATCTTGTACGAAAATGTTCACAGATTCACTACACACATATAAACTTTATAGAACTTTATAGGAAATTGGCATGTTTTCAAGTTTTCTTTCTTTTTGTTTAACTTGTTTCTCTCTATAACCCATTTGCTGCTGCAACTAAAAAAAAATTTATCAATTAAAAATTAAGTACTTTTGATCAGATGTTCAGATACCATAATTCAAATAGTATCTTCAAATTAAGAATATTGTTTTAAAATTTAAAGTACAATGCTTTTCCATAAGCCATTTAAGTTCCATATCATAATCCTGATACCAATACTTCCCCTGTTCCTCTATCTGTATACCCGTATGTCTATATGTTGCGAAGAATTTTCTAAAGATTTCTAATGATGGTTTTTTCATATTTGGTCACAATTTATTCCAACCAAACAACATGTACAA